ACTCATGTAAAAATACGCTGATTCCCGGACTGTCTGTGGGCCGGATTTAGAAGGCGATTGGGCCGGATCTGGTCCCCGGGCCTTAGGTTGCCTACCCATGCCCTATGGCATGGAATTTTGGTCAGTATTAGGTCTACTGCCCCCCCCCAAGTTTAATAATGTGATTCATGGGAAGGGTCATGACTCAATGGCAGAATCCATGATTTGCATGCAAAGCTTCAGAGCCTGGCCTCTCCAGGTACAGCTGGGAACAATTCCTGTCTGAAAAACTGGAGTGCCTCTGCCAGTTGGCATAAATAATGCTTAGCTTGATAGACAATTGTCAGAAAATCTCCTGTTCTTGTGTTCCGTTATTTCTATAATCAGTGCTAGCTCAAGGGTTTTTGGGCCTCCGCTTCTCACCATTGTCACCATGGCCCATTCAGTTGTCCTCCCCCACTAGTCCAATCTTTACAACCTCCCAAGGAAGTTGCAGGACAAGTGGAAGATGCTACTTCAATATTAACATCAGGGATAGGGAGCCTCAAGCCTGGAGACCAAATGCCACCCCACAAGCCTATCTAGCCCTTGATATTTTTCCCAATGCCACCCACTGAGTGGCACTGCTTTGCACCCTGAGTGTTTCTGCCTTCAACTCTGATCATGCATTTTCCTTGTTGGGATGGAAAATAGAGCTGGGCTTGTGAGTGTGTTTAAGGTAAAATTTACATTCTTGGTTTCACTGTTTTTTGTCTTTGGTCTTCTCCACCTGTGGCATGTGGTTCCTGGAAGGTTGCCCAGAAGAAACGTGGCCCTCCTGATCTGTACTCATCACTGCTTGGAGAGGCCAGGTGAAGAAGATAGAACCTCTCTGTATATCACACCAGCTAGGGCAAATATTAGAAGCTAGGATGAACATATTGCTCTGGGTATTTTCCTTGACTACAAATCTGTACTGTTCATAGAATAAATTGGTGAGTTCTGATCTGGGGAAATTCTTTTGGTCTTCTCAGTCAAGTTTATGAGAAGAAAACACACACTAATATTCCAGGGGAGTTGGTGGCTTGAGAATGGAAACTGATATAGTTGTAACTCACTAATTTCATTACATCTCTTCCCATCAATACGGAAGAGTGTGGTATCAACTAATCAAGTAGGTATCAATTCTTTTTTGGATTTCAGGGTGGATTTAGTCCCAGCGGTAAAGCTGGGGCAACTAGCCATGCACTTAATATGATATATCAGGTAACCCAACCCCGCACTTCTGGATGCCAGGATAAGCAAGTGATGCTCCAGTGTAGCCCATGGATGCCACAATATAAAGCATCTTGTGAACACTTACAGGAACTTTATTTGAAACAGTAGCACATCACTAGGATTGTTGTGGTATCAGAATCAGTGCATACAAATCTGACCACACAGATTTCCCACACAGAAAGCATTTTCATGAAACGGCTGTATATTTATTTAGGCAATTTCTATAGGTTTCTGTCTCTAGGCAGTGTAAAGATAACAGAAGCAACAACAAATGCTACAAAAATACACAAAAAAGCCCTGAATATAAACTACTAATATATATATAAATACGGTTAGCAATTCCTTCTCCTTCTGACACTCTTCCCCCACTCAACACTTGCTGGCTTCCAGTTAGGACTCCATGCACCTATCCAGCATTGGAGCGATGGACATGTTCATACAGAGACAATGTAACTGTGTGATGGAGTATTACCAACATAGTCCAAAGTATGCAGAACTGAAATAATCACTAGATTCGGGTAAGTAGCTATGTTGGTCTGACACAGTCAAAATAAAATTTAAAAAATAAAAAATTGTCCAGTAGCACCTTAGAGACCAACTAAGTTTGTTCTGGGAATAAGCTTTCGTGTGCATGCACACTTCTTCAGATACACTGGACAATTTTTTAATTTTTGAAATAATCACATAATCAAAGTATTTCCCCTTGCCCACCCATGTCTCCATTTCCTCCCCTCTTCTATTGTTTCCTCATGTTTGAATATAGCTTGTGCTACATAAAATCAATAAATAATAGAATTGATAAACACTTTTTTTTGGTGCTGTCAGTTGGATCTATTTAAAATTGTCTCTACCTCACAGACCAAATCACAGGATTTTCAGAACTTATTCCAAGTTTTCCTTCCTTTGTTAAATGATGAATAGATTTACTAAGTTTCCTGTAAAGCATGTGGCTTGGCTTTATTTTATGTCATTCAGATTTCAGATTCCCCCCCCCCCCCACTTTCTGGAATAAGACACTATAGGATGCATTGCAGAGGAGTCCATGCCGGAAAACCTATTGACCTCAACAGGAAACTGTTTAAAAACTGAAGTACGCTGAACATTTGACAGAATAATTAGAATGCATTTAGACTTTAATTTCCATCTGCCCAAAGCAAACAGGCAGTTGCCAGAAATGCAACTTAAGCTGCTGGAACTGCAAAATAAACAGAAAAGAGCATGGACTTCGTAACAATATTCTTGTCATCTGCACAACTGATAAAGCTCTCCAAATTCAGTGTTGCCACAAATAGTGTTTGGATAACGCAGTACTGCTCAAGCAGAGTAATTTCCCACAACGAGGCATATAATTGAGAATGCAACTGTATGATAAATTTGTACATTGGTAAAACCTCTTCCAATTACTCTATCTTAATCTCTTCCCCACCAACTGTAATTAAATCAATTACTAGAAGAAACAGTCCCTGTTCTGGAAAAAGAAAAATATGAACTGGATACATAGTTAAAACAGTACAGTATCTCTAAGGAGATCACTCTATCAGTGGAAACATTACTGGTTGCCTGATACAATGGTCTCCCTTTGCCTCTGTGCACATGCTGTGCTCCTGACCCTCCTGAGCCAATTTGGGAGGAGATGGAGACACTTAGCTCAGGAGGGAAGCCCCTCTGTGCTGGTGGAAATCCTTGCAGGGGCTTCAGCTAATGGGACTGATTAGTTAAATCTGGCCCTATGATGGGGGTTTGCCAGAGTTTCTACATTTGGCACAATGTCCTAACGAGTTTATAAGACCACACAACACACACCTGCTTTTACCAGGATGGAGCTGTAGAGTTTGCTATACATAAAGCATTTTCACCCACTGTTTTCATTTTTCTTTCAAGCATCACCTGGTATGACTGACCAAGGCTGGTCACTTTGTTTCAGTTTATTTAAGATTAACTACAGTCTGTCATTATGAAAAAAGAATAGTGTCACTAATCATTTGTCTTTCAGCTTTGAAAAATCTTTCCAGTCACATGTGATCCTTACACTTCTGCTCATCATACACCTCATCTTTCAGCTTTGTGCCATAAACATACTTTCGAAGACAACACGTCTGATGTGGGCATTACTTCTTGGAATACAACTTTTCTGCCTCACTAGGCAGTTCAAGATTACTGTATCTTGGCTTCTGCAATAATCCTTTATTTCTGAGAACATCTACCTCTGCCTATCCCAATTAGCCCAACATCAACCCAGAGAGCAGCAAGCTTTAATCCTTTCCCTGAAATGTTTCCAACAGCTCCTTTTCGCTGCCAAGAGAAAGAGTCTGCATTCCTTTGTTTCTAACACCCTCTGCCATACAGCTTGCCAGGTTCCATTACCCAATTGTAAATATAAGTGTTTTAGAAATCTAACCTCTGGAGAGAAGCTCACATTGTTTTACAGAACAAATCCAAATGGTCACCAAGCCTACATCCTAGAATAAGATATGCATGATATATTAGTGCTATGGTTTCATGTATATTTGCTTAGCAAAAGCAGGGGAGCTATTGCCAGCCATATTTGATGCACCAGGGATTTCACCTCAACAGCAAGGAGACACCAACACTAAACTATAATGATTTTAAACAAAAGCATACCTAAACCACCTTTTGCAGTATATTTTAAAAGAGAGAAGTTACCATCTACTGGTAGGATAGACTAGAGCCCCTTTCAGATGTTTTCAAATGAATTCAGGGAAAAGACCATGGAGACAGGCCCTACTTCTGATCTATGTACTTTCATTTGAAGGTCTGAAGACAGCCAAATCTATGCATGCATACAACTGTACACATAAACAGATGTAACTGGGACCCCTGCTTTTTTCTTGTAAATATTGTGTCATATCTTGACTCTGTAAACTGCTCTATAAGGTCCTGTAAATCTTTTAGATAAAGTAAATATATATTAGGACATTTACATTAGGCACTTCAGGAAGAACTTATATCTGCCCTCTACCTCTGGTATTTCCATCCTGATTTCACTAAAGAAATGCCTGCATTGTTCAGAAAATACATTTCAGAAGTCTTTTAAAAAATAAATTCATGCCTTTATCAAATTTGATTTGTACATTTTAGCTATAAATCAACACTCCATCAATTCTATTTTAGCAGCAAAAGGCACAGATGGTCAGTGGCCTGCTTTGAATAACTCTCTAGGAAAAATGACATTTCATCTTTTCGTTAATGCATTGTGAGAATCTGACCATGATACCCCAGAGAGTGAAACAAAAAAGCTATTATTAGGGAAAGAATGCAGCCACATTCTGAATGTTAGCATGATCATAAGGATTGAAACGGAGACAACAGATAGGAAGTGATAATGGGTGGTGTGATAAGGACTCATAATTTTTTCTTAATAAACTGCAGAAGCACCACATGTGTACATGTTTTATGTACAGCAAATAATGAGAATGAAAACCTTTGCAGTGTCCAAAAATGGGATGCTGCAAGTAAAGAGGTGAGCTCTCCTTCTTAGCCTGTGCCTGAGCAGGTGACTTTACATTGGACAGCTGGTTCTATAATAGATATGGCTCTGGTGTTTCAGATAATGGGGGTGTTCACTTCTTCTAGATCAGGGGTCTGCAACCCGCGGCTCCGGAGCCGCATGTGGATCTTTTACACCTCTGCCGCGGCTCCAGGGCGGATACTAGTGAGGGGAGGAGGCGCATTGTGCGCCCCGACACTCCCCACTGTGGCGGGCGCTGTACTGGCTGTGATGTCGCATGGGGGCGGTGCGTGCGTTAGTCACGCACCGTCCCGACGTCACCTTCCCGCCCGCTACATTGTAAGGGGCATGTACGCTGGTCACTGCATTGAAAGGGGGCATGTAAGCTGGTCACTGCATTGAAAGGGGGCATGTACGCTGGTCACTGTTTTGAAGGGGAGTGAAGAACACACAAAAAAGGTAACTTGTTAATTTAACGTTTATTTCTATGAGGAGGAGTAATTCTGAGGGGTCAAACAAAGACATAATAAAAAAAAGTGACAAAAAAGTTATTTTTATAATGACGAGTTTTGCGGCTCCCAGGTTTTTTTCCTTCGGAAACGGGTCCAAGTGGCTCTTTTTGTCTTAAAGGTTGCAGACCCCTGTTCTAGACGTTACTATTGCTTCCATGCTTGTTGGACATCTGAATCTGTATTGCCTATCCTGGCTGACAGTTGATCTCCAAAAACTCAGGCAGTGCTCTTTACCAGCCCTACTACCATAGTGCCTTTGAAGACGAGATGATAGGAACTGGACTGGGAACCCACTGCATACACAGCTTGTGCACCACCAGAAAGCATGTGCTCTACCAGCTTGTAGTATACAAGAATTTCCTACACAAATATTACTTATGAAATTGTAATTGCTAGAACTCTGCACGCACACAACCTCAAAGAAATATATGAGCCTGTATAACTGTGTTTTTGTACTGGAGTGGCAGCAAATCAGATGGCTATGCATCCATGTGTATAGTTTTTCATATGTGAAAATGATACATGTGATGGAAATTCACCATGGGTACAGCAGTCCTATGATAGTGAAGAGCACTAGTCAGAATACTGCTTTGGTGCTCATGTTTTCTTAAAACATCTAAATGCATGTTCTGCTTAGGTTGTTCCAGAAGCTCTGATGGTAGCAAAAGCAACCGTCTCTCCTGGAAACTTTCTGAATGTTAGAAGTCATTCCATAGCAGTTCTCTGAGTGTCACCCAAAGCCATACTTTAATATATGGCATAAAAAGCAACCAACCAGAGTTAGATATTAAGAAGTCTCTTTGGGATTTCCAAAGCAAATGCAAAATTGCTTTAAGTTATTTTAATGACACACAGAATTATGTATTCTTTCTATGAAGTTCTATTTTTCTTTGTGATGCATGCAACTAAACTAGAAGAGGGTGGAGTTAAACTGACAACTCTAATTCTCTTCTAGGTATAATTCTCTTTTCTCCCTCCCCCCAATGTAATATATATTTC